ACATTATTGCTAACTTCACAAAATGAATTGAAGAATTTTCAATTCTTTCCTGATCTGGCTCAAATATTCAGGAATAACCATATCTTTGTTTATTTCATTGTTTTTACTTGTTTTATTTATATTCTTCGCTAAGAATGAGCATTGTCTATTTTAAAGTTCCTAAATACGAAGTCTAAATTTGAGTACACTAGGAAGTTCTTTGATCCTGTTTTAAAATGTAAGCACTCTCTAACACTAGGATGTTGTGTAACCCCAACTTGTGGGTGTGAGGCTGCTTTTGAAAACAAATCAATGATGGGTTATCACATTTGCAGGCCACTTGGACATTTTATTGTCTTCAGTGAACTTGGGCAAGTCTTTAATGGGAAGCATTTCTGGTAGTTCTAGAGAAAGAACTCAACTCACAACTAAGGTGCTCCTCATGGTGGATTCTCAAGGGCCTCAGCTCATTTTCTGCATGATCCCAGGAAACATGAAAGTGTACCTTAATTAAAGATCGGTTTGAACCTTTGTGTGGTGGACTCCATCTTATCCTTCAAGTAGGTCTACATTCAACCCCCTTGAACCAGCACTAGGTTATTTATAAGAGGGTTTTTGCAGATGTCATTAAATTAAGGATCTGGAGATGAGGATGTCACCTTGGATTATTTGGTGGACCTCATCTCCAATGACAAATGTTCTTATAAGAACTAGATGTGAAGAAGACACAAGTACACAGAAATGAAGGCAGAATACAGAAGTGGGATTAGGATGTTGTAGCCACAAGCAAGGGAAGCTGGGAAAACAGAAACTGGAAGAGGCAGGGAAGTGAGCCTTCCCAGAGCTACTGGAGGGAAGATTGACTTGCCAATAACTTGTTTTATCCTCTGGCATCCAGAATGGTAACACTATAGATTTGTGTCATTCATCCACCTAGAAAACACAGGAAACTAATACAGACTTTTGGACTGAGAAGTAGAATGCTTTTATACAAGTGACTGATATTGGGCAGTGGCAGAGACTGAATTAATTTTGAGGTACTTCAAAGAAAAAAAGTTAGATTGCCTTGAAAAGACTCATGGTGGAATTATGGCTCTAAAAGGCTCTGTAATTGAGAATTCAGGAGAAATTGAAGAGGACAGTAGAGAAAGTTGCAAATTTAAGGGAGTGAGTGCATGTGTAGTCATAAACAAGTTGGTAGAAATATGAGCAGTAAAGTGATGGTTTAGAAGTAAGTGGAAAACATGTTATTGGAAAACGTAGGAAAGCAAATCCTGTTTGATAGTGCAGAAGGCCTGGCTGAGTTGTGTCCTGTGTTGTGGAAAGTAGAACTTGTAAGAAATATGCTTACATAATTAGCTCAAGGGATTTCCAAGTGAAGTGCTAAAGGTGTGGTTTGGTTTTGTCTTTGCTGCTTCTGCAAAATGCAAAAGGAAAGAGAGAAATAAAAGGAGCTGTTAGGCAGAATTCTAAAGATGCTTTAAGAAATTTGCCATTGATCCCGTTATAAAAGATGCTACTAGTAAGAGATTCACTGCTAGGAAAGTGTCTCTGGAGAGGAAGGCCAAAGGTGAAGCTGGACAAGCTTTTGCTGAAGAGTAGTATGACTACTCGGGTGTTTTCCCAGAGACAGGAATACAATGAGGTTATCCAGGAAATAACTGTGCAGGACTGTCGTGTCCAATGGTGTGGATTCCTTTGATGTGCAGTAGAGGAGCTGCAAGGCTTTTAAGAAAGTTGCATTAACAGAAATACTACCTTCTTGGACTAAAGGGACCTGAGCTAGGAGAAGGTGTAGGAAAGGTTGTTGGTTTAGGACCCTGCTGGCTGGAAGTGACCCCATGCAGCTGTTTAACAGCAAACAAATGCTATACTTCAAACATGTGACACTCTGAGGGCAGAACCCTGGGCTTGGTGGGTAGAGCTATGGGTACAGAGCTCCAAACAACAAAAGATTATCCTAAGGCCTTGAAACCCAAGGAACATTTCCTGCTGAATTTGATATTCCTTGGCACCAGTGACTCCTTTCAAGTTTCCATTTTGGAAGTCAATACTATATCTTGTTTTCTAGCTCAATATGTGTATGAAAGGAGATATTTACCCCAGTTTGGATCACGCCCACAGTCTCATTCATATATGATTTACATGATTAGATATGAGATTTGGGACTTTTGAGCTAATGAAATTTAGATGAGATCTTAGATTTAGAGTTGATTGTGATTTGTGAAGATATTGGGATGACTTAAATATATTTTGCATATGGGATAGATGTTCATGGGGAGGGCAGTAGGTAGACTGTAGGGTTGAGTAGTAGCCTCCAAAAGTATCAATCTACTTCCTAACGCCTGAAAGCTATGAACATGACCTTATTTGGAAAAGACCTCTTTTCTGATGGAATTAAGGTGCCCTTGTAAGTGGTAGATGTGAAGACCCACAAATGATCAGGCAATGTGACTATGGAGGCAAAGTTAGGAGTGATAGGTCCACAACCCAAGAAAGCTGATAAACACCATACACTGGGAGAGATGAAGGACAGCGGCTCCTATTGGAGAGAGCATGGACCTGCTAACACCTTAGGCCTCCAGAACCGTGAAACAATGCATTTCTGTTGCTGTAAGCCACCACATTTGTGGTAATGTGGCACAGTATATCTAGGAACCTAGTTTACTGGGAAAAGCCACCAAATCCCAGATGTGAGTCATACTGGTCACTAAAGCCCTGTAGCGCTCTGCCCAAGCAAGTGGGAAGCCTGTATCAGGTTCTCATGGCTGCAGTCATGTTTCCTATTTTGATGCAAATTGGCTTAAGTGCTTCCAGTGCATAAGAAAATTCTTCATTAAGCCTGTACAGTAATTTTCTTGCTTTTAAATGTATTCAGACAGAAAATTAAAGTTGTATAAGTAAAGAGTGCTATTAAAATAAGCTACACCTTATTAGACTAAGCTTATTTTTGTTATTTGAATATTAGTTTATGTGCATCCATATTTTAGATAAAATTTACTAAACTTCATCCTATGCTACTTTCATCTGTGATGAATTTTTCACCTTTATGTATAATTTTATTAATAAATATTTGTACATATTTACCAGTCACAGTATCATAATCCAGTACATGTATCCAATGTGCAATGATCATATCAGGGATTAACATTCCCATCTACTCAAACTTCAATCGTCTCTATGTATTGAGTATGTATAAACTTTCTGGATTATTTTGAAAGGTAACATAGGTTGTTGCAGAATACACTTACCCTATTATGGAATAGAACTGAACTGATTTCTTCCTTTGAAGAGTTTTGCTTATAAATGCAAAGCAAAGATAAAATCCAACTTTCTAAACCCAGATAAGATTGTGCCCCTGACTCATTAGCATTAAGGAAGTTTAAAGAGTTTGCTCTGTAGGAAATAGAATTTCCAGAAATTGGTCATCTTTGACTATATGACTATAAAGACTCCAATGACAAAAGTATTATTTGGTATATTGGTACCGGGTAGAAACTAGTCTTCCAAAAGTTACAGGTGAGCACTTGTTGGGTGATTGTGGGCTTAATAGGCACTATAATAGAAGAGGTGTAGAGCAGCAGTACAGTAGCTTATATGTATTAGATGGCTCCCCTACGTGTCATCCATAGCTAAGTGCTTTACAGTATGATGAGAAGGGATTAGCTATGGTTCCCTGATGCCTGGGATACGCCACTATAAGCACTATCTTCTCCAATCCTTGAGTCTTGAGCTTCACTGGGTTGGCAGGGTTGGGTCTGGCTTTCTTTCATCTTTATTGCCGAATGGTAGTGTATGCCCACTACGCTCTACCCTGGGCCAGGGCATCAATGCACAGGCCAAGATAAAACAGAATGTAAGCGCATGAAAATATTAAATCAAAATAAAATGCAAGGAAAGCATATCAAATACTGAATAATTGTACATCAACTTAATTCAATGACCAATCCTATCACCTAAAATTGGCACTACCATTGTCTCCACAGAGCAGCCAGACATCAGGTGTTTATCCCTGCCATGGCTCACATTAGTGCTCATCTATGCATAAACAACCACTTATAATGTTTAAAGAAGGGAATGTATGTTTTGGGAATATATATATAAACTATGATTTTAAAATATCCTGAAGCAAAAACAATCAGGATGTTAAGTTCAGGATGTGTCTCAGCTGCTTGCGCACCTTGATAGGGCAGCCTGACCAAGGTCTCACCAACCGGGGGATTCTCACCGTACTGCTCAGTGTACAGAGACCCTGAGGACTTCCTGCATCTCTGAGTTAGAATAAAAGTGCACCTGCACCTCCAAAAGGTAGTCCCCAGGAGCTAGGCCTTCCTGGTGTCAGAAAAGAAGGCATTTTCACTGGGCCTCGCTGGTGTTATCAGTCGAAGTCTCCCCAAGGTGCAATGGCTTCTGCCTGTAGCTTCCAGGCCTTGTCCTCTGGTCAAACCACCCACTCGGGAAGGTCCTGCCAGAGCTGAGCATCGGGCCAGCTCATTCTGGGCTCTGCCACGAAGGAGAAAGAAGGTCCCTAAGAAACCTGCCGGCTGCAGTCTGCATGCTAGCACACGGGCTAACGGTACACAGGGCTGAAGGAGACTTGAAGGGGTGCAGTTGAAGTCTGGGTATGCCCAGAAAGCCCCCGAAAGAAAATGAGGCCTTGTGAGTGGGGTGGTGAAGGGGCCTCCAGAGAGCGTTCAGCCTGTCTGCTCACAGGAGCAGTGGGAAGAACAGCCCCACTGTGCAGGGAAGACCTCGGTCAGGCTCATGTGCACCCTGGAGCTTGGCACATCAGGTCCTTCCCTGCTTGCTGTCCTTACGCCCCACAGGGGGACAAGGCCGAGACAAGACTCAGCAACCCTGAGAGCATTTTCCAGCCATCTTTATTTACATTTTGAAACAACAGCCCGAAAGGGCAGCCCCACCCCACCCAGGCAGCTCCTCCCTCCCACCCCATCCCCTCCCATCACCTCTCCCTGCCCCAGAGCCCCTGAATCAGAACTCCCTGAGGAGTTCAGCTGGCTTGTGGGGTGCAGGGCAGAGCAGGGTGAAATCTTGCCAATGCCCACCTGAAGTACGGGCACCCCAGAGTTTGCCCACCAGCCTTATGGGGGTCAGGTCTTCCTCCTCCTCCTCCTCCTCCTCTGGGAGCCTCCTTTGTTACTCCTCCCCTTCTTAGGCAATGGGCCTGGAACCTGCCCCTGAGCCAAATCTTGCCCTGCAGCAACCTCTCAGGAAGGTCCTGGGCAGAATAACTTTCCCACAGGAGCTGAGCCTCCCGAGAGGGCTCGTTTCTTGCACCTGGCAGATGAAGGGAGGTCAGAGATGAGGCCTCCTCTCTGGGGAAGTGAGGCCTGGGGTGCTGGGTCCCCAGGGCAGAGGAGGCCCACGTCAGGGCCTGGGATCTGGGGCAGTAGCTGGCGAGGGGAGGCCAGGAGGAAGGAAAGGCTGGAGAAGTCCTCATCATCCTCATCCGGGCAGGATGCTGGCCCCCCAGTAGGAGAGGCCACTCTGAGGGCCAGGGCACCTCTGGATGCCAGGTCCTGGGGAAGAGCACTGGGACCAGAGGCTCCCAGCAGAGCACGGCTGTGTCTCCTGCGCAGGACAGCAGGGACCTCAGGCCCCGGCCGCTCTTCATTGGTGGCCCTGCGTCTCTTAAGGACCTGGGAAGCTTTTGGAGGGGAGCAGGTCTCCTTGTTGCGCCTTCGTTTGCGGTCAGGATCATCTCGCTCTGCACCTTGGTGGGCAGCAGATTGGGGTGCACCTCGGCTCTGGGGCCTGCACACACCTCCCTTTTCCTTGGAGCCCAGAAGGCGCTTCTCCACCAGCTGCAGGAGGAAGAGGGCATTTCTTGGGTCTATATGAGGCATGAGGAGGGATCACGGGGTAGGTGTGAGGGTATTTGGACAGCAGGCAGGCTCTGGACCTTGCCCCATTTTAGTTTCAGACACTGAGGCTGAGTCCCTGGGACCACCCTGCTGGCCTCCTTCACTGCACCCTCGCCCTCCTCACTCTGGAATCTCCTGCCTCCTTGTCCCCATGTGTGTCCTCCATCTGGGTGCAGCCCCTCTCTAGAAGGCAGCAATTTCTGGCTGGGTTAGGGCTGGACAAAGTCATGTGGACCTGGTGTGCAGGGTCCCCTCCTGCTCCTGATGATCTGTCTGGTATCCCCACCCCACCCTGTCTACCTGATGCCCCTCCTTCTTCATATCTACCTGTTGTCCTCCCCTCACTTGTCTCCCTCTCCCCTCATCCTCTCCTCTCCTACTTGGTGCTCCTCTCTCCCTCCTCTGCCTACTGATTCCTCCCCTTGTCTGGTCAGGCTGGTGGCCCTGCCCTTGTCTTTCTGGTGTCCCTCATGCCCCTGGCCTACCTGGTCAACAGTAAGTTCATGTTCCTCTTCTAGCACCTGTCTTGTAGCCAAGATGATATCCAAGTCTGCATCTGGAGATTCTACTGCATCCAGGAATTGGGGGTTGATAATGGCCTCCACCTGGGTCAGAAGAAGAAATCATGAGGCTCCTTGGTAAGGAGCAGCTCTAAGCCAAGGGGAAGCCCAGGAGAAACAGAACAATACCCTGCCCATTCTGGTCCACACTATGGGACTGTTAATCATCATGACCATCACCAGCTACACTCACTTACCCAGACACACATTCATGGTGAGATGCAAACACACCCACATCCACACCGAGAGAAAGGGGAGAGAGAGGAGAGAGAGAGAGGGATTTCAGTTGCTAAGGAATCAGGCTAAATTCCAAAGGCTTGGATCCTGTTGCTGAAATTTTAAGAACACCAGGCCTCCAGCCCCCTGCACACCTTGGTGAGAAAGTCGTCTTGGGAGCAAAGCTCATCACAGTAACTGGAGATATCCAGATCTGGGACTATCTCCTCCTCTTCCTGCTGCTGCTCTTCTTCCTGGTTTTCTTTAGACACCGGCATGGACAGGAGGTGATGCTCTTCCAGCCAGTCCATAATGTCTATGTATTCCCTCACAGCTTCAGGAGGGATCTCATCAGGCGCCTTGGTCTCAGGTGGCTGCTGGCATTTGGGTGTTGGGGGGCAGGCAGCCTGCGCCTTGGATTCTGTCTGCCTGGGGACGCACACTAGAATGGAGGAAGGGAGTGGGTATGGATGGGTGCTCCAAGTAGACCCCAATCCCGATGGGGAGAGCAGGATCTAGGAGACCTAATGTCATCCAGAGTGGTCCAGGACAAGCTGACCTCAGAATCTGTGAGAGGAGACTCTGCCTGAGGTGGAATGTGGAGACAGTCACATGGGAGGACACGTGGCGCTACCGAAATGCCATACAATCTCCCCACCCGGCCCCCAAGTCCTGGGCAGATGGTGGGCTGAGATACTGCACAGCCAATCAACACCCTGCTCAAGTCCAAGGGCTGTGGAAGCCCAGGCACTGGGGGATTTTCTGCTTTCAAAACCAAATGCCTCATCCTGATTGAAAACCCAACAGATGTGGGACATCAGCTTCCCTCTGCCCCCTTTGGCCTCTCCTGTGGTCCCCGTGGAACATGGGAAGCCCTACCTGGTTGTTGCACAACCGCAGGCATTGGGGGCCTTGGAGGTTCGGGCCTCGGTGGGGCTGGAGTCGGACAGCCCGGGAGTCCCCCAGTCAACTGAAACTTGGGATGTAACAACTCTTCAGCAACCTCAAACTCCTTGAACCTGAGGTGTGGGGAGATACAGGTTGAGCCAGAAGGGAGACCAGGTCCCAGGCCCTAGTGACACCGGACTGGACCAGTAGCAGTGGTGGGGAGCAGTGCTCTGGGTGGACTGGTCTAGTCAAAGGAGGGGGCTGATCCCAGGGCAGAGCCACAGTTCTGGGCACATCTTTCATCACCCACAGGAAATCAAGTTGGGCCTAGGTGACCCGCAGAGCCCTCAGGGGACCCTTTCCAGGCCTGCCCTGGTCTTGCACAGAGCCACAAACAGCAGCGGAGCACCAGAAGCCGGTCAGGAGTGAATTAAGGCAGAGAACACCAGGAGTCCTCACCCCCATCCAGGGCTCCTGACGTGGGACTCTGAGTCCTGGAATGAAGCTCTGGGAGACAGGGCCCGGGAGAAGTCAGGAGAAAGTGGGAGCCAAGTGGGGAAGATTGGGTTACTTTCCTCTGTGGTCTGTTTTTCTGTTTCTCTGTTTGTTTGTTCATTCGCTTGTTTGAAAGAACAGATTAGATGAAGCTAAAGTAGTAATGGTGAAGACCTGTCCTCGGGGTGCCTGAGAGGCTGTCTTCCCCTGACCATGCCTGCTGTCCCCTCTCCCACTCTCTTCTGGGACCTCGGGTTATAGCCTTGTTCCTTTCATGGACAAATGGCACGGGTCCACCTGACACAGCCCCCACTGCTAGAAGAAACTCCATGAATAATGAGGCCAAAGCTCCTGGCACTTCCCTCCCTTGCAGGTAGAAGGAGCAGCCTCCTAAGGACCAAGGTGTCCAGGGGTGGGGTCTGTGCCAGTGGACACCCTGCTGACACCGTGTGGGTGACAAGCCCCATTGGACACAGCTGCATGGCTTATGCGCTCCTGCAACTCAGGCCCAGGCGCAGGGTCCCTGACTCACTTTTCAGCCAGCTCGTAGAAGATCATGCGCTCGTAGTTGCTGTTGTGGTCCCATTCGCGCACGCCTATCCGCAGGCCCTGCTCCACACTCATGGTCGGCTTCCGGCGGGACAGGGACCGGAGCACTGGCCTGTAATTGTTCAGGATCAGTTACCATCCACTGTCCTCACCCTGCATGCCCAGCTGATCCTGCCCTGCACAGCCTATGTCCCTGTCACCTCTGTCCCTTCACTTCTCTTGTGGTCTGACAGCCTCTGGGACCCCTTATCAGGCACTGGACATTAACATCAGTGCTACGTTGGAGACTGATTTTCCTTCATGTCCTCATTGTTGGTGTTGTTTATTGTGTACAGGATGTTTTTGTCCCCCACAGTCCGTGTGTTGAAGTACTGACCCCCAATGTGATGGTCTTTAGAAACAGTCAGATGAGGTCAGCAAGGTGGGGCTGTCATGATCGGATCAGTGCCTTTATAGGATGAACAAGAGACCCCAAAGCTCTCTCAGCCATGTGAGGACTCAGGTGAGGTTGCCACCTTCTCTAGCCAGGGGGAGAGTCATCCTCACACACAGAATCTACCAGCGCCCTCACGTGGGACTTGCTGCCTTCAGAGCTGTGAGGAGTGAATTGGGTGGTTTCAACTCGCCAGTCTGGGGTACTCTGGCAGCATGAGCTGACAGGACGGTGCACACAATGAGCTGAAGCCAAGGTTAAATCCAGGGGTGAAGATTTAAATGGTGGCTGAGGGTCAAATGGAATTAGGGCGCAGGTGTGCTGTCACGTGACTGCTGCACCACCTTATTCTCCTTTGTTTCCCCACAACAGCCGGGGTGGAAACAACTGTCATTTTCTCTCTCAGCTTCTTTGCCTCCTACCACCAGTGGTTGTGGTGACCTCAGGACCATGAGTCCACAGGTCCATAAAGGAAGGGAAAACTGAAGGGGTGTGACCATGACATGTCAGAGACCTAAACTCAAATGGTGGCTCATGCTCCAGCAGGAACCTTCTCTGACCTTGAGTCTTGAGCATCACGGTGATAACTATTGAAAAAGAAACATTGGCTGCACTCAGAGAGGGGCAGTGGTGTCCATAGATCAGGTCTTCTTCCTACCCTGGCATCACATAAATACTTCTGACCTTACACTGTCACCCTCAGCTCTTCCTGCAAGTTCCTCTACACCCCAAATTCCTTATCTCCCCTCCTCCTCCCTCCTATTGGAGCTACAGGGTGAACTGCTGGGTCCCTGGGAGGACACTCACATGAGGAAGCAGGACACCACTTCCATGTCAGGAGTGTGTGGAAGGTATCTCTGGAGCAGGGTCTTCAAATGCTGCCAGCACCGGAAGTTCTCATAGACACTTGGAGACTTGGAGGTGTGACCTGCTGAGCCACTGGTCTGCGAGGTGCCCAGGACACCTGCAATGCTGCAGTGTGGTGGTGGCCCAGTATTCACTCCGGACACGGTCGGGGCCACTGGTGGCACGGCTGGAGGATGAAGGCCCTTGGCCCACATCCCATCATGAGCTTGGATGCTCACGCCAGTTGGGTCAGGCAGGAGTGGCCCAGTGTTCACTCCGGACAAGGTCTGGGCCACTGGTGGTACGGCCGGAGGATGAAGGCCCTTGGTCCACATCCCATCATGAGATTGGATGCTCACCCCAGTTGGGGCAAGCAGGAGTGGCCCAGTGTTCACTCCAGACACGGTCGGGGCCACTGGTGGTACGGCTGGAGGATGAAGGTCCTTGGCCCACATCCCATCATGAGCTTGGATGCTCACCCCAGTTGGGGCAGGCAGGAGTGGCCCAGTGTTCACTCCGGACAAGGTCGGGGCCACTGGTGGTACGGCCGGAGGATGAAGGTCCTTGGCCCACATCCCATCATGAGCTTGGATGCTCACCCCAGTTGGGGCAGGCAGGAGTGGCCCAGTGTTCACTCCAGACACGGTCTGGGCCACTGGTGGTACGGCTGGAGGATGAAGGCCCTTGGCCCACATCCCATCATGAGCTTGGATGCTCACCCCAGTTGGGGCAGGCAGGAGTGGCCCAGTGTTCACTCCGGACACGGTCTGGGCCACTGGTGGTACGGCTGGAGGATGAAGGCCCTTGGCCCACATCCCATCATGAGCTTGGATGCTCACCCCAGTTGGGGCAGGCAGGAGTGGCCCAGTGTTCACTCCGGACACGGTCTGGGCCACTGGTGGTACGGCTGGAGGATGAAGGCCCTTGGCCCACATCCCATCATGAGCTTGGATGCTCACCCCATTTGGGGCAGGCAGGAGTGGCCCAGTGTTCACTCCAGACACGGTCTGGGCCACTGGTGGTACGGCTGGAGGATGAAGGCCCTTGGCCCACATCCCATCATGAGCTTGGATGCTCACCCCAGTTGGGGCAGACAGGAGTGGCCCAGTGTTCACTCCGGACACGGTCTGGGCCACTGGTGGTACGGCCGGAGGATGAAGGTCCTTGGCCCACATCCCATCATGAGCTTGGATGCTCACCCCAGTTGGAGCAGGCAGGAGTGGCCCAGTGTTCACTCCGGACACCGTCGGGGCCACTGGTGGTATGGCTGGAGGATGAAGGCCCTTGGCCCACATCCCATCATGAGCATGGATGCTCACCCCATTTGGGGCAGGCAGGAGTGGCCCAGTGTTCACTCCAGACACGGTCTGGGCCACTGGTGGTACGGCTGGAGGATGAAGGCCCTTGGCCCACATCCCATCATGAGCTTGGATGCTCACCCCAGTTGGGGCAGACAGGAGTGGCCCAGTGTTCACTCCGGACACGGTCTGGGCCACTGGTGGTACGGCCGGAGGATGAAGGTCCTTGGCCCACATCCCATCATGAGCTTGGATGCTCACCCCAGTTGGAGCAGGCAGGAGTGGCCCAGTGTTCACTCCGGACACCGTCGGGGCCACTGGTGGTATGGCTGGAGGATGAAGGCCCTTGGCCCACATCCCATCATGAGCATGGATGCTCACCCCATTTGGGGCAGGCAGGAGTGGCCCAGTGTTCACTCCAGACACGGTCTGGGCCACTAGTGGTACGGCTGGAGGATGAAGGCCCTTGGCCCACATCCCATCATGAGCTTGGATGCTCACCCCAGTTGGGGCAGACAGGAGTGGCCCAGTGTTCACTCCAGACACGGTCTGGGCCACTAGTGGTACGGCTGGAGGATGAAGGCCCTTGGCCCACATCCCATCATGATCTTGGATGCTCACCCCAGTTGGGGCAGGCAGGATGGTGGTCATGGGCGCAGCACTCAGCGGCAGGAGAGCAGGATGATGCACACCCCCATGCCGGACACCTTGGGAGCCGCTCATGAATGGGGCCCATGAGAGGACCTGGCTCTGAGTGAGCAGGGACCCTGCTCGCCTCCTTCCTCCCTGGGTTCGGGCAGGGATGTTGAAAGGCCCAGGCCCAGTCTGACCATAGCCACTGTGTCCTGCCACCAGAGGTGTCATGGGGAAATGGGACACCACCAGGGGTTTACCCTGAGGATGTGGTGCATTCCCAGAGGGTGGAAATGGCTCCCAGTGTAGCTGTTGTACTGGGACCGGGGCAGGTGGGAGAGGGCACAGGACCGAAGAAGGAGATAGGATGACCCCATCCTTCTGGGTCATATCTGGCTGCAGCAGGGACGATGCTGTGGAGAGAAAAGGAGTGATGGCATGTAGGAGGTGAGACAGCAGGATGGAGGCTCTGTTCTTCCCCAGTCACTGGGAATCAGAAGACAAAACTCACCCCTTCAGGGTTGTGTGGACAGGAATATTTTGCAATTAGCAAACACCCCTGAGTAAATTTTCATGCTCTCTTCCTCCCATTCAGAATTCCTCCTGCAAGGAACTTTCTTCTAGGTAACTAAAATTCTCAACCCTTGCTTGTCCAAAGCAACCTCTCAGCTTCCTCTCCCTCTAAGGGATATTTCCTTTTTCTCATGCTCCTTCTAAACCTCTATCTTTCTTCCCTTGCAAGCAAAACATAACACAGCCCCCCAATGAAATCTTCACCCACACTAGCACTTGAAGATGACCCCACGTGGGATCCCATCCACCTCCCACAACAAGCACTAATGCGGGGACTAATCCTGCCCAGTCCTGTGCCCAGTATTCAGTGGTCCCTGCCATGACACTGGAGGCTCTGTTCCCATGAGACAGGTCTGGAAGATGGACACTGGGCTCCCTGAGTACTTATCCTTGCAGAAACAGCCAGGAGTTTCTGCAGAGGACCAGAAAGAGCCAGGTAAGGGTGATGGTGGAGCTGTCCCAAGAGTTTTCAAGGAATTGTCACAGCTCCTGGTTGTCAGGTTTCATTGTGGAACTGTAACCTATCTGTGGAGCCTTTCCTGTGGGGTCCTAAAAATGGCAATGAAAGAGACTTGTGGGTCGGTCCTCTGTGAGCCAGGTACCATGTGAGACAAAGTCACCTAGAGCCCATCTGTGAAATCTGCACCCAGTAACCAGAACACCTGTCCTAACTTCCTACTAACATAACAGCAAAGCATCTTCCTGTGAGCTACTCATCATCCTCTCTTAACATGGAAACTAGCTTTCACTGCTACAGAAAACCAACAGCACTCCCCTTGTGCCCCCGGTGCATGAAGCACCAGACAAGGAACACGGGCGTTGTTCCTGACAACTGTGAAATGAAGGGCTGAGAGGCCACACTGACAGTGGTCAAGACTAAGAAGCCCTGAAGACCTGTTTTGATGAAAAAGATGACATTTCAGAACAACTCAGGGAGACCCAAGCTGCCCTGGGATGAAAAGCAGCTGCAACTTGGACTGAGGGTAAAGCCCTCTGTGAGTGAGATGGCGCTTGGGGTCTCTGGACAGTGACAGTTGAGTAACCCTTATCCTTGTTCACACAGAGGATGGATATTTCACTGCACACTGGGTCATGGAGTTTTCTGAGTAGTTTTCTGTCTAAGATCATTCTCTCCACTGCCCTCCTAAGATCCGGGAAACTCCAATCAAACCCCTCAGAGCAGTGAGACATACAAGTCCCAGGTTCCCGAAGAAAGGACACAGGACTCAGAGTTCCCCTTGAAAATGTCCTGTCTCCTCCGTGACACCATTGGATAGCAACCCTGTTAAAGTCACATCTCTCCCTTTCTGGAGAGGATCAATGTATGTCCTCCCATTCTTTCCCCGACCCAGTATATTTTCCACATGGTATCTTGAAATCCATCTAAGGAGTCCCAGTCCCGTCAACAGTCTCAGACTGACAGGAACTTTCCCTGCCTCCCAGTGGGTATGGTGTTGGTCAAGTCCAGTACACTTTTTTCTTTACATCAGCTCAACCACTTGTACCCAGGGAAGTGACAGATTCAAATTCCTAACAGTTTAAGGAGTTAGAGCAGTTATCCCTGACCCTCCAGGCTTACCTCCTTCTAGCTCCATCCCCACAGGCATGGACACTGACATCAACTCTCTAGCTGCTAGCAGCGTGGGAAGAGTGAAGACCTGTGACCAGAGGCTCACTCCGGTCCAACTGCAGAGGGTGAGGTTTGAAAGTAAACAGGTCTGGAGGGCTATGCCCAGACATTCTGTAGCGGGGGAGGGGCAGAGGCAGGGCTGGGGGGGGCATTCCAGGAAGAGCTTTGGTGGGCAGAGGAGACCCTCACGATCCCTTCAAACAATTTGGTGAAAACATCACTGCTGTGTGACTCTACCCAACTTTTGAATTATTTCTTACCACTGCCAGCACTGTGGTTGTATTGGTCTCCTGACTTGAATTTCTCATCAGTAAAACTTCTTTTGAAATAGGCTCTTGACTAATTTAAAAACTCACTGTACTTTCTCAACAAAATTCAGACCATATAGTTAGGTAAATATGGGGCAGGTTAGAGAGAAGATGAATAATTTGAATTGAGATTGTGAGGGAGGATCCAGTGCCTGACATACGCGCGTCACTCCTGAGGAAGCAGTTCTTGTGTCTTCTTCGAGTGTCCAAAGCTGGGATCTGTGCCTCATCCAGGACAATACTCTTGTGCTGTCCTTTGCTAGAAAGCCCTACCAAGCAACCACACTAACGTAGCCTACAGACCCAGCACAGAAATCCCTTCTTTTTGGTTGTCAGAGTGTTGTGTTCTTTCTTGCTTATTCTTCCTGTCATCTCAACTGATTATCACTATTAAAATAGGATTTTAGTATGGTTTTTTCTGGACCAAGAATGCAAAAATTGCATTGTGGAAAAGTTCTTTTTTCCATGGACCTAGGCCCCAGATGCAGGTGCAATCAAAATAGTCCAAATATAATTTCTGACTTCTGGCCGTATTAGTCACTTTTCATTACTGGGACAAAATACACAGAACATAAGGATAAAAAGTTTATTATGGCTCGCAGTTTCAGAAGTTTCTGCCTGTGTGTGGCTGGCTCCAAGAGAGAAACATCGTGGCAGAGAGCATGGAGGGAGGGGAAAGCTGCTCAACTCATGACATCCAGGAAGAACGGAGCAGGAGCAAGGGCCAGAGACCCAGTGCAGTCCCAAAGTCACACTCCCACCCCACACAGCCACATCCAGAAGTGTGCTTTATTAATCTCTGGGATTTCACTCAAACCGAGGAAAGTGACAATCTAGATTAACCTTCACACTGATCATACATGGAAAAACGTAGGTAAAAGCTCTTTGGATCCTGTCTTCTCATCCTTCCTGAAAAAAAGCCCAGGCCCTTTGACGGCCAGACAGAAAAGGTCTCTGACCATGGACACCACCTTCAGACTTAAGCGGTTTCATCCAGTACTGCAACATTACAGAAGTGGGGAGAAGCCTTATCTGTGTCTCTGGAGTTGGTGTACCCGGAGGTAGTTGGCACTGTTTGATTGGAGGGCCGTTTGAAGTTGTCTTGCTATTAATCTTGCAAATTACCAGAAAGAGGATCTGCTGATGGATTTTTGAAACTTGTAAATTCAAGTTAGTCATTTTTTTAATTAGCAATTGAAATTCGTCAATATATGTCAAGCAGGAGAAAGTAAAATTATTCCCATTTTACCTGTGACGTTGGCTGAAATTGACCATGGTTGTCAATTCTTGGTTAAAGGCAAAGCTTTGCAAAGAAAATATCTGTGATTTAACATTTATCGAGAGAGCTGCGTACGTGAAATAAATGTGCAGTACAGTAAATGCAGGCAGAACTCTAGGAATCCAGTCAGGCCAAGTCATTTCTTACTTAGAGTGCTTCCCAGGTAAAGTTCTTCACCAGATCTGTTTTTTAATAGAACCTTCCAATGAGCTGGGAGAGGACACACTTGTTTTTTGGAAAGAAATGCTGTTCAAAGGAGCTAAAAGCCTGGGCCCAAGATAAGCAGTTTGCTTTAGGAAAAATGCCTCAAAGTCTTTCAGTTAAGGTGGTTCCAAAGGGCATGAATGGCAGGTTTGCAATTTTGAAAATCATGCATGGCCGCAGCCACAATATTTCCCTAAAAGGGATTCACACCCCAGAAAAGTGTCCAAGGAAGGCCTGTGGCAATTGTTTTGCTTCCCGCAGTTTCCTCTGGCGCGCATGCGTGCGTGCCCGGACCCAGCCTCAAGCTCCAAAGGCTCTCAAGAGATGCGCATGCGCTCGCTCTGGGCTCCCTGGCCTCTGCTGAGAGCCTCGCGCTCTAACTGCTCCTGGAGTCCACGGGGCACTGCTCAGAAGATGCACTTGCGCACGTCAGCTCTCTGCGCCAGCCTCGCGCTCCAACAGCCGCTGAGCACCTACTCGGGTGATGCACATGCGCGAGCGCAGAGGCCTAGCCGACAGTTGAGGCCGACCTGGACGTTGCAGAGTTCGCTGCTTAAATCAAAGGTAATGGGTTCTCCGACCCAGCACTTCCCCACGATATTCCCGCCCTTTCCCCTTGTGCCCGCCCTTGAGGTATGGGCATGTGTGTGTCCTGGGGGCCAACACTCCCTCCTGTGCCCAGGTCCCCGCTCTAGACGCCCCCGGGTTTTCCCAAGCCCTGGGCAGAGCCCCGGCGGGGCGGGGCTCCTGTCCTTTTGCTTCCTGTCTGAGTCTGGGCAGGAGGAGTCAGCTGGAGGGGGACACCCAGGGACGTGGCTGGAGCTTGACAGTGTTTCCCTTCTGTGTCCGTGATGCAGAAGCCCGAGGAACACTTCTCATGTATCTGAAAAGCGTCATCCAGAGCCACAGAGAAGTAACTCATGTCCCTGAAAAGTGAGTGGCCCTCTGCGACATCTTCCTTATTTGCACGTATGAAATTTAGGGGAGGGGAAGTATCAGCCACCATTCATGTGGCAACTACACTGGGTAGTGACTGCCCAAGTTGAATGACGCACTTTTGTCCAGTGTGAAGTTGTCACGTGGTGACTGAGCTGCAGGCATAGGTTCCTGGGGGTGCAGGAGGCTGGCAGAAGTCAACAGCAGCATTGTGTGAGAACCAGTTGACTCAAAGGAATTTTCTCTAAAGAGATTGTCTGTTGTATTACTGAATTATGTGGTATGCATGCATTATGTCCAGGAACTTCATTATGTGCTGTGTGTGTGTTTGTTTTGTTGGGGAGACCTTGTGTGTACTTGAGGATGGGAAGAAGTTTTAGTTTTTATTTTGGGAGTCATGAGAATTGTGGGTGGTGGTTTGTGAAAATGTGTTGTACTTGATGGGCTCCCAAAGACTGTAGGAATCCACATGGCACAGGTGGTTTGTTGTAGGTATCTTTGGGTTGTGGTGGGAATGTGTGCATATGAATTCATAGTTTGGGATTTGCTCTGCTTTAAATTGGCTTGTGACAGTCGAATCTGTCTATTCACTTGTGTGGGTGATGGTGTCTGGGTGGATGTTTGAGATAAAGGGAAAGTCAGGATTGTTTTTGCACAATTATAGAGTTGATTGGATTAGGGAGGGTGTTATGCATGCATACCCAGGCAGTTGGTGCTAAGTATTTGTAATTTGAGTTTTGAAATATTACACCTATGGTTTCTCCCCCCGCTACAAATGCTAAGATATTGTGTTTGTGAGAGAAAGAAAGAGAGAGAGAGAGATTTTATTCATAAGGAGTGAGGTTGCTAGAAGTATAAAATTATTTCTTGGGAGAATGCTGGGATAGTTGTAAGCGCTATGAGAACTTTTTCAGTGGGAAGTGTAGACTATGGTAATGTTTTAGAAGACATAAATATTCAGGTAATGGAAAATATTTATCTGTGTATCTATTTGTATATTGGTATGTGGGAATTGTGTGTTTATGTACCAAGATTTATGTGCATGTGCATGCATGGACATAATTGTGTGTGTATGTGTGCACGAGCATGCACTTTCGTGCAGGGTGTTGAACACAGCCCTCACAATGCAACTTTACTGGTTATTTACAATGTGTGTATATATCTGAGTTGCATTGTGCATTTGTGAGTTTGGGGGAAATGTATATTTGGAGTCTGGGAGTATACAAGAGGCTCAAACATTCTTCTTTGTTTTTGTTCTGCAATGTAATTCTTGAAGATTCTGATGGTGTTGTTTGAGTGTGTGTTCCTGGTGTTTGTGTTTGTTCTTACATATTTGAGAAGTGTAGTATGTTTGTGGCCATGTGTATGTTTGAGTCAATGGGGTATAATGTGGCAGGTACATTACTTGTGATTGGAAAGACAGAAACTGTGTAAATTGTGTATTCAGGAATTATGGAGCAGTTGTATTGTGAAATTGAGGGTTTTTGTGTGGCCTGTGAAACAACTGTATGTTTGGTGTATTTGTAGGGTCTGTGCCAGTAAGGTGTTCACTGAGCACATATTGGCAGTGAGTTTGTTATACATGTATATTGTATGTATATGCATAGTTGCAGAAATGGCATGTGAGCATTCAGAGTGGCTAGGGTTTTTTAATTCTGTGAAAGTCTGGGGGATAACCAAGGTCTGTCTCTGTGTTCAGGGTGCAGGTGGCATTTTTGCTAATGGTGGTCATTCGTTGCTGAGTCTCTGTCCAGTTTCATCTGGTTTGTAGGTTAAATTAAGCATGCTGGGATAGTCACATCATGAGAACTAACAGGTAAGAACTTCTTCCCTCCTCCTGGAGGATACCTTATTAAATATGTACTAGGACACCTTTAATGTACGTGTGTATATGTGTTTAGCATATATGATGAGATGATTGTATAGTTAAAACATTAGATTACAGGAAGTACATATATTTGAGACTTCCTGCAAATTATCAGTCAGAAATTAGGAGATCTGAACTCCTGGTGTATGCTGGTTCTTCTGAACCTTTCTCCTAACTAGATTAGTTCATTGTTTAGAGCCAAAAACCCTCATAAATACTAATTTCTGGCTCCTCCTCAGACATATGAATTGAGTGGTGTGTATGCAGGTAGATACTCCTTTAGTATGTGTGTGGTCCTGGCATAAAAGTGGCTAGGTATATCTGACTGGTGGACAGATAGCCATAGAGACTGGAATTTTCATTGGTTCTCAGTGGTGGACAGCAGTGATAAGTGGTGCAGTGTCCTGGGCAGGAGTCTGATGGGTCAAAAACCTCCCCATGCAAATCTCCATGAGAAGCAACTGGGCAGCCACTGCTGGCTGATAAATGAGGACATCCTTCATGGGGCCCAGTTTTCAAAGCCTTCAGAACATCTTCACCCCTGCTACTTTCTTCCTCCTGGTGGTGAGCACTGCTGGCTATCAGGCAGTTTATCTGTGTCACTAATTCCAAATCCACTTATTGCCATGGAAACCTGAAGGTTTGGTGCTAGGCAGAACCTCCTCACAGCCCCATTGCTGAGGAAATGTCTTAGTTTCTGACTTGGGAGTAAGGCTTCAGTGGGTCATGTTTTGAAGAACTGTTCCCCTTTCTCTTCCGAAAACTCAGGATACCTCTGTCTCTGAAAAGCTCATCTCAGATGTCTGTTTTTCTGATGAGTATCTGTGGCCTTTATTTATTCTATTCTGGTTGATACATGAGAAGAAGCTGTGTAATCAAAGTGGTCACTAGCTGACTCTACAACTTCCCATACTTCCCTAGCACCCACAGAATTAGTGTCCTTGGCTCTGAATCTCCTGACTGGAATCCAAGGATAGATAATACCTGAGGAGCACTGGCCTTTGCATGAAGAAGTCAAAGAAGCAAGTCAGGGGATATGAGTACCAAATTGTGGTTTGGATTTTAAGTGTCCCTCAAAGGCTCATCCCTTAAAGGTCTAGTCCTTATTTGTTGGTGGTGTTGTCAGGTGATGGAACATTTGGGGAGATGAGGACTAATGGTAGGAAATTAGGTCTTCAGGAGCATTTTCATGAAGCAAACATTGTGGCCTGTGTTACTTACTTTCTCATTGCTTGGACAAAAATGCCTGACACCAACAAGGTGAAGGAGGAGAGGTTTATTTTGGCTAGAAAACTGTAGAGGTTTCAGTCCATAGTCAGCTGGCTCCAAGGCAGGGTGTCCTGGAAGAGGAGAAAGAGTTCATAGCATAATTGACAAGAAACAGCAGCAGTAATCAAGAATTTGGGAAGGATATGTACTTCCAAGCCATGCCCCCAGTGACCCACCTCTTTCAAGCAAGTTTCACCTACCGACATCACTCCCAGCTGTAAACCTATCAGCTCTAAACCTAACCCAGTATAATATACCCATAATCTAGTCAACTCCCAAAAGCCCCAGCTTTGAGCACATAATCCTTTGGGGGGACATCTAGGTATAAACCATAACATTCCAACCCTGGCCCCCAAAGACTCATAAACATCCCTTTATGCAAAATGTATTTAGTCCCAGGCCAGGGATCTAGCTCAGTGACACCGTGCCTACCTGGCAAGTGCAAGGTCCTGAATTTGACCCCTGGTACCAGAAAAAAAAAATCAAAATGTATTTAGTCCAACTTTAAGAGTTACCAAAGTCCTAACAGTTTTAGCATTGCTAAATTTCCAAGTGCAAAGTCTCCTCTGAGATTTAAAACAAATTCTTAGCTGGAAACTCCTGTAAACATGAAAAGAAAGGTAAACACTTCTGACATGAGATGGCACAGGCTAAATATTCCCATTCCAAAAGGCAGAAATAGGGGGATAGAGAGGAATGGGATCAAAGCAAGTACAAAATTCAGCAGAGCAAACATTAAATTCTATAGTTCCATGTTCCATGTCTGTGGCAAGGTGTGAAGTCCAAAGGGTTCGGGTGACCCTGCCCTTAAGGCGCTGAGGATGATTGTAGCTCTCATGGCTTCTCTCTTGGACAGGTTTTGTTCACTGCTTAAGGCTTTCATTAAACAACCCACATTCCTGGCTTCATCCTGCTCGGGTCTCCATTGCACTTTCAGCTTCAGACTCACAACTTCACACATTGCCCTCTCGGGCACACTGCTTGACCTCCCAGGTCTTCTTGTGAGGTCTAGATGCAAGCTTTCTGGATCCCACAACTCTTACATTCTGCATATGTCTAAAAGCAGCACTATATGGATGACTTTGGTGTCTGCCACCAGCAAGAGGAATAGCCAGGCTTCTTTTTTCTTGGCTATAGGGGTCGAGTGCTTGGATTGTTGCACACTGTGAATCCAATCCTGAGGAACAAATTCCCTAGTGTCTTAGTTAACTTTTCTTGTTGCTGAGGCAAAATACCCAACACTTAAAGTTAAAAGAGAAAAGGTTATTTAGCTTATAGTTTGTAGAGGTTTCAGTTCATAGTTGGCTGACTTCAAGGCAGGGTGCCATGGCAGAGGGCATCACAGAGGAGAAACAGTTCATGGCAGGTAGAAGACAGCAAAACCAAGCTAAACAGACCAGTGACTTCTTTCTGCCCTTTTTTATTTTATGCAGGTTATTTGCCCTAGGGCAGGTGTAGCACTCACACCCTTAATCCTAGCCAGAACTGTGCCAAACCAATCAGTGATCTGATTTAGTGACCCCAGGACCACACACACACCCCAATCTAGCCACTTCTGAAAAGCCCCCCTCCACGACTGCATGAGTCTTTGGGGGGTGTCTAGACACAAGCTATAACAACTAGGTCATTCTCTTTTGGAACATGATGCCCTGGGACTCACTTCTCAAATCAAAGTGTTTTTTACCTTTGCCATTTTGAGGCTACAAAGTGGAATCTTGCTGGTTCTTATGATGCCCTCAGGCCATCTTTTCCATTTTATTGTTGTTGTTGTTTCAAAATACTGGGATTTTAGCACTAATTTTTTCAGCAACCAAGTTCTCCTCTGCTCCATCTTTGCAGGCCATAACTTTTTAAATCATTC